CTACCGCCCCCACTTATGGAATTTATTCCAAACAAAGTCCTACTTCTCTTGTTGCTCTTCAATGTTTTCTTTTTCTTTTTCTTTCTCTTAGTGTTATCCAAGGCAAGTGTTAAAACTTTGTTTTGTGTTTGGCTGAATTAGTAACTACAATGTATGAACATATATGAGTTGGTTCCTTGGTTTGATAGGTTTACAAGGTCTTTAATGTTTTGGTTGAAAATCACATAGCTTCATTGCTCAAATGACTCCTATTGGACATATCTTGGGCTATTTAGGCCTTGATCCCTTTTGTCCTCGGTTTGTGGTTGTTGGGCGTAGCTCATCTTGTGAGTGAAAGCTAGGTGGCTAGAAATTTGGAGACTTAGTGTTTTGCTACTTGATCTAAAACTCGCTCCATTTGACTCTTGAGACCGCGACCGAATCGACTCATAGGATGATAAAGGCATTCATTTCGGGATAAGGGCATAATTTTTCGTTCTTTTTAGATCCTTTTTTTATTTCCTAGGACACCTTTACTTTCAAATTTCAGGTTTTTGGGTTTACATTCACCTTTTGCGTACCCCCTTGAGCCTTCCACTTTTTGTCTACCCGCATTACAAGCCTTATGAACCTAATTTTATTTTCACCTTTATAGAAATGAGTGAAACTCGAGCTTGGCTTTGTATCTAAGTTAAAAGTTTGGCATAGTGGATGTCTATAATGTAAATTGCAAGGGACGTGTTTGTTTCCCCAATTAAATCTTTTGGTATAAAAAAAAAAAAAAAAAAAAAAAAAAAAAAAAAAAAGTTGGAATAAGAATGCATAAGTAAGGCATCGATCTTGTATATAGTTTAGAGTTAGTTGGGGGGTATAATACCCACCAACTAAGGTTAGTTGGCCTTGGTTTTGCTCGATTCATTAATGTTTCACTCTTAGGAGCTTACACCACCAGCCAGAATTTTTTTTTTTTTTTAACCCTTACCCCAAGCCATTTCATTGCACCTTAAAAGCCCTTTGGACCTTGAGTGATTGAGTCAATGTCGGTGGAGAGAGTCATGGGTCGAGCTTTTAGATTGGATTTGCATTTACTAAGTTAGGGCAATCCTACCTTGCCCACCTCCTTGTTGTTCTCCTAATTCTCTTGTGGAATTCGAGACGACTAGCCGCCTAGTGTACATGATCGAGATGAGGAAGGTTGCCTTGGTGAGGGACAATTGGAGGATAGGATCTTTATAGTCCAAGCTTTTGAGCATGAGCTATGTGGCCTTCAACCAGGAGCATTAGCTAGCTTGTCCACCTATCTTGTCAAGAAGCTTGCGCATCCTTGTGATTGCATTGTAGTGAAAGTTCAACCATTCATGTTTGTGTTTCTTTCCCTTTTTATTTTTCTATTTTTCTATTTTTCTATTTGTCTCTAAAAACCTTGCCTTGATTTAGTGCGAAGTTGTGGGTTAATCTCTCTCGAAAACCCTCACGAGAGCATACTCGTCCTCCTAAGTGACTTGGGGGTTTAAATGGCTTGTCGTTTACGCTAAAAACGACCGTGATTCCTACGAAAGTGAGTTAGTGTATAGAATTATGCTTTTGGTTATTTTTGTTTGCTTATTTTACTTCGCTCGAGGACGAGCAAAGGACTTAGTTGGGGGGAATTTGATCAGTGGCCATTTGGCCCACTTTTCTACTTCGTTTCTTCCCCGATTGAGCCCTTTGTTTGCCCTTTTTCCTCTATTTTAGCTTAGTTTTGTTATTATTGAGCATATTTGTTACTTGGAGTGGTTTTGAGTCATTTTTGGCTCATTTCCTAAGGTTTTATTCCCTCTCCTTTAACCCATTTCAATTTGCTCCTATTAGAACCTTTCCTATGATTTGTGTTTTCCATCTTACAGGTCCTCTCGTGGCTAAGAAAGCAAGGATTGGATGCAAGGATTAGGCATGCTTTGGAGTCAAAGGGATTGGAGCATTAGAGCCCAAAATATGAAGGAAAGAAGAGTTCAGAGCGGGCGCTCTAGATATGGAGCGGGCGCTCTGTATTCCTTGCTGCAGAAAAACCAAGTACCCAACCCTCAGAGCGGGCGCTCTAATGTTGAAGCGGGCGCTCTAGCTCCCAGAATAATCAGAGCATTTTCTGCGAGACTTCAGAGCGGGCGCTCTGGCCTTAGAGCGGGCGCTCCGTGTTCCCCTGACCGATTTGAACTCTGCTACACGCGTAGGCCGACGGCTCTAATTATTTTACTCTGCACGTGATGCCTAAAATTTTGGGCCTTGATTTGGGTTAGGTTTTAGAGGAGGGTATAAATACCTCTCTTCCTTGTAATTGGGAGGAGAGAGGTATGTAGAGAGAGAAATATTAGAAAATCAGATTTCAGCTTATTGTTTTTTTTTTCTTTCTTTTGCACTTTAGATTAGTTAGGGTTTAGTTCCTCATTAGATCTAAAACACTACTCTTTGTTACTCTCTTTCATTTTCAATCCAAGATTAAATCTTTTGGTATTATTTCTATCCCTACTCTTTATTTATTGCTTTATTTATCTATTTTAATTAGATTTAGCTTATCTTTAGTTGTTATTTCAAGTCAATAGAATAGTTTAATATCTTAGTTGCCTCCTTGTTTAAACTTGCAATTTCTGGTTTTGATCCTTTATTTTCTTGCTATTAGTATAATATTATCCTTATTTGCTTAGATTTCATGCTATTTAGAATAGATTACAAGTAGACTTAACATATTCTCTTCAAAGTTAACTTCTTTAGTAAAGTTTAATCATCCTATTTTCTGGTTTTAGCCATGTTTCTCTCATTAAACTTAGTTTTTGCTTTTGTTAATGTTCTTGTGTGCTTTGGTATGACCCTTCCTTCTCTAGGCTAGGTTTCTAGCTAGGGGAGGGGGAAATGATGAACTAATGATGAAATGAATGATATGTGGTGCAAGATTGGGTAGATTGAGAAGTTTTGCAATTGATTCCAACCTAGGTTTTAGTTGTTAGGAATTAGAGATTGATCACCTCTAAGACCCTATTTTGTGTTGCATGCTAGTTGCGCGAGAGTGAGCTTGTATGTGATGATGACTAGGTTAGGGATGACCTCGACCACCGAGGCGGGGTTGGGTAGGCGGTGTTTAGGTGAGCCCGAGAGGGAATCCTAGATGTTGGACCATAGGCCCCAATTGTTTGGTTGACCGATTGAACCATTCTTGTTGCCTCTAATTGTTGAAATCATTGTTAGTTAGGAATTCTCCCCTATCCCCTAGTGTTTGCTATTCCTTGATTTTCGAAGTTTTATACCTCTGCTTGTTGCTTGTTAATTTAGTTCTTAGTTTATTTGTTTCCCTAGTAGCTATAGATAAATCCATCAAAAATTTATTCCTCCCTTTTCAATTGACTTATAAGTGATCTAAGCAAGAGACGTTTGACCTTCCCTGAGGATTCGACCCCTCTTCCACTATGCTACCTTTGGTTAGTTTAGGACGTGGGTTTTCTTTTTATTCTTGACTCGACCTTTAGGAACTAACGACACCTAGGGGGCCGATCAAGTTTTGGCGCCGTTGCCGGGGAATGGCAACATTGTTTATTGCTTAGTTATCTTGTTTTTCAATTGTTTTCTACTTCTATCCTTCTATTTTTCATTTATTTCTCCGTTGTTGTCATTCGCTAATTGTCTGCTTAGCTGTGTTGAATGCTTAGAAGATCACAGGGACCACCTACTCACGACCTCGATCTCGACATTGACCGCACTCTAAGGCGAGTGAGGAGACTATTTGTTGAACAAACGGGTGAGGAGGAGGAGTTCTTTGATTCTTCTAGTGATATTTCTTCAGACATGGGGGATGCCAATGGCGCTCTTTTTGGTGACTTTGGTAATCCGGGTAGTCATGAATTGCAATGTGGGATTCTACTTCCTACAACGGAAACAAATTTCACTATCCACCCGCACTACACTCAAATGGTGCGTGGAGATCAATTTTCTGGAGCAGCTCATGAAGATCCGATAGAGCATTTGGACAAATTTCTCGAGACATGTGCTTTAATCCAAACCAACCAAGTCACTCAAGAATACATCCGGATGCACCTTTTTCGGTATTCGCTCACAGGCAAGGCTTATAGGTGGCTCAAAAACCTAAAGCCCGGCTCGTTGGCCACATGGAGAGACACGGCCAAAGCTTTCTTGAACAAGTTCATTCCCGAAGACAAATCAACCGAATTGAGGCAGAAAATTTCATCATTTAGGCAAGAAAGGTATGAATCTTTGGGGGAAGCTTGGGACCGGTTTAAAGAGTATGTGAGAGCTTGCCCACACCATGAGTTTGACAAGCAACTTCTCATCAAGTTCTTCTATGATGGTCTTGACGACATACCCAAGCAAAATTTGAATTCCGGATGTGGTGGACATATTAGCAAGGTGCCTCAAGCTCAATTGGAGGACACCATAGAGGAAGTTGTGAGGTACTATTCTACGAGTGGTGGAAGAAGAAGAGGTGAAGAGAGAGCTTCGGGCAAATTCGAGCTTGATCAAGGTTCACTCAAGGCTCTTATGGAACAAGTCATTGACAAGAAGCTGGGAAATAGCCAAGGGTCTTCATCTTCCTCCACCAATCAAGTACACTCTTTCTCTTGTGAGAATTGTGGGGGTACCAACCATGATATATCATATTGTGGTGGTCGAGACCCCGAACATGTAGCGGCAATGGGGTACATGAACAATCAACGTGATAATTGGAGAGCCCCCAATGCCAATTATGGTAATAGATTTCAAGATGCAAGTGGCCCAAGCCACAACACGGGTCAAATGGCTCCCTTTCCAAATCCAAATGCTAGCAATCACCCTAGAGCACCATTCAAGCAAGGACCACCCAACCAATTTCAGAAATTTCCAACCCAACCCTTCCATGCAAAATGATCCTAATCAACAAATGCTCATGGAAACTCTCAATAGAATCCAATCAAGCCTATCCGCCATGGATCAAAGAATAACCAATAGTGAGCGAAAAGCGGATCAAAGGCATCAAGAGGATCACCGCACATCAAAAGATGATGGATAATCAAGTGGCTCAACTCGCCGAGAGGGTGACCAATCTAGCCAATGAGAAGCTCCCGGGCCAACCTACTACCAACCCGGCTACCACCCATCATATCAAAGTTATCTCTCTTAGGTCCGGAAAGTCTTATGAGGGGCCTAGGAGTGATCAATCGGAGCACAACAAGGAGGGTGAAGAGCAAGTGGTTGAAGAGGTCAATGGAGATAGCCAAGGTCAAATAATTGACAATAGTGTTGAAGGAATCATTGAGAAGAAGAAGGGTGAAGGTAGTGAAAGAGCAAGGAAGTTGGGAAAGACAAGCAACCATCAACATCTTATCAACCATCAAGGTTTGAACCACCACCGCCTTATCCCGAGAGGATTGTTGAGAGGAGATTGAATGACAAGTACAACAAGTTTATGGCTATGCTCAAGTCACTTCACATCAACATTCCATTCCTTGAAGCCATGACTCAAATGCCACCCTATGCAAAATTCCTCAAGGAACTCCTCTCCAACAAAAAGAAGCTAAGTGATGAGTGTATCACTCTTCCTCATCAAGTTAGTGCCCTAGTGCAAAGAACCTTGCCTACCAAGCAATGTGATCCGGGAAGCTTCACTCTTCCGGTCAAGATTGGTGATATGGAGACCACGGGTGCACTAGCCGATCTTGGGGCAAGTGTGAGCCTCATGCCACTATCCATTGCAAAGAAGCTCAAGTTCGAGATGATACCTTCAAGAAAGGTGATTCAATTAGCCGACCGGTCCACAAAATTCCCATGCGGTGAGTTAGAAGACGTTCCTATCAAGATTGGGAATTTGTTTGTGCCTTGCGATTTTGTGGTGATGGATATGGAGGAGGACCCTCATACTCCTCTTATCCTTGGAAGAGAGGCACTCAAGACCATGGGAGCGGTCGTCAATTGCAAAGATAATACCATTACATGTGAGGTGGCCAATGAGAAGTACAAGTTTGAATTCTCAAAGACTTTGAAGCAACCTATGGTAGAGAAGATTTGGCGGTGTGGACTTGGTGGACTCCGAACTTGATGAATTGGTGAAGTCTCATGAGGTAATTAAAGACAAGGGTGATGAAGACCACCCATGTGAGGAGGTGGGTGAAGGAGAATCTTTGTGTGCCTTGGAGGTTTGAAAGCCTTGAAGGTGAAACTCATCCCGAGACTCAAGGAGCCGTGGATGAGCTCTCATCGATCAAAAGTGAGTCTAAGGAGGAGAGTTCCACGCCTCCTCCCAAGGTAGAACTAAAACCCCTCCCTCCTTCTCTCAAAATATGCTTATTTGGATGATGAATGCTTACATCCTATTATTGTCAATGCTAACCTCGATGACACCTCATTGCAAAAAATTAATTGAGATTTTAAAAAAATATAGGAGTGTTATCGGGTATAGCATTGATGATATTAAGGGGATTAGCCCTAGCTTGTGTATGCATCGCATTCATCTGAGGATGATCATGCCTCTTCCATTGAACCTCAAAGGCGGTTGAATCCGACTTTGAAGGAAGTGGTTAAGAAGGAAATCCTCAAACTACGTGAAGCGGGGATCATTTATGCTATCTCCGATAGCAAATGGGTGAGCCCGGTTCATGTGGTTCCCAAAAAGGGAGGCATGACCATCATACAAGATGACAAGGGGAATGATATCTCCACCCGCACTGTCACGGGGTGGAGAATGTGCATTGACTATAGGAGGCTTAATAAAGCCACTAGAAAAGATCATTTCCCCTTGCCATTTATCGATCAAATGTTGGAAAGGTTGGTGAAGCATTCACACTATTGTTTTCTTGATGGTTATTCGGGTTTCTTTCAAATCCCAATTCACCCGGATGACCAACATAAAACAACCTTCACTTGTCCATTTGGGACATTTGCCTACCGAAGGATGCCCTTCGGATTGTGCAATGCCCCATCGACTTTCCAACGATGTATGAAGCAATCTTTTCTGATATGAT